GAAATGTTGTTCTCACAGGGAAGGAAGGATGGTGTAAACGCTGGAGTGTGGGGGAACGCCAATGCTGGTATTAAAATGGTAAGAATGCGATCCTCACAGCTGACCTGTAAGTCGAAACAAGGAAGAAATGCAGGTGATTTTTTTTCCAAGAAAAATCATCAGATTGGTTTGCTATAAGGTTTACTGTTATTAAAAGAATCTTTGGCATCCTGAACCTGCAAACACCCTGAACTGTACACTAATGGAGAACTAAATGTAAAGTGTCAAGTAATATGCACTGGTGTTGCGCATTATCACCCTTTGATCTTCCCATGGAAAAATATAATATGTGTAATAAGGGAAAAAAGCAAATTTATTACCATTGGAGGAAAGGAAAATAGATCTTTATGGTCCAGGTTAAAAAGCAGCTTACTAGACCATGTTTCCGTTTTGGCCGGCAGTTCAAAAGCATGTTTTCTTTTAGAATTTTTCTCTGGCCGGATTCTGAATCACTTGGGGGCAGTTCGCAAAAGGCTGTGGTGCACCATTGCCGGGCTGGTTTTCACATTTAAAGAGCCAAAGATACATGGGGAACATGTTCACGTTCAAAAGGCCTACAAAACTCTAAAAGCTGGGATATTGAGTTAATTGCTGGCCCAGTCAAAGCAAGGCTGCTGCTGCAAAATGCGGTGTACAGCCTCGCTGTAGAAGAGGACAGAGGAGTGAAAACTGCTCCTAATTACCAATGATTTGCTGGATAAGCATGTGACCTGCTACAACATGAGCAATTTGAAATGACCTGGAATCTTAATGACAGTAAACAAAACTCATGAAAAACAGGCTATAAAAACGAAAAAGGGATGGCAGTTATTTCTAAAAGGGGTTTAGAAATATATAGTGGCTGAAATAAAAATAAAGATTTTTATAAAATAGCAGATTAGAGTGTTTTTGGCTTCATTCGAGGACTTCTATTGTGCATGGTTGTTACAGCATCAAATCTACCAACGGAATTGGTACAAAACTAAAGCACACCACTGACTTTGAACACTACTTTTGTACCACAGCTGTCTGAAATGCTAATATATAGTCTTGTGGAATAGCAACAATACCTCCAGTGTGTTCCCCAGAGCTGGAGGGAGGAGGCAAGACAAGACAAAGACAGTTTTTAATCCGAGCAGGAAGCATACAGTGGCGATTCACTGTGAAATGGTGAGTGATATGACTGAGTAGTGTATTTACTGAGTCTGACAGGGTAGGAGAAAGAGAGTGTTTTCTTCCCGTCCATACATTTATCCCCCTCCATAAATCACCACCAATGGGATTCATAAATGTGGAAGAGCAAACGCCGTGTTGCTCCGACTCAAGCAATTCCACTTTGACCTTTAAATTTGGCATTGGTCACTCATGCTAAATGTGTGCCACGACCTTCCATGACCTTGGACTATTCATATTTAATAGCCTTTCAGTCTGATGGTTCCGCAGAATGCATACAGTATATGAATGCACACACTGCAAAGAGAAATCCAAACATTTAATGCCTTAGTTTGAGAGTCTGATCACAAGTGATTCTTAGTTGTCTAGGTGTCTATCTATGAAAATACACATAAATGAAGAGAATATATCACTGTGTCTTTATTGCTTTGATTCCATTATCCCTACTCGGCACACTCTATGATGCCCTATGTGCATCATAACCTTTGACTCCAGCCAGTGCTTTTAAGGTTCTGCACTTTGCCCTCTCCCATTTGACCTACTGAAGTATACCTTTATAATTGCCCCTGTCGCTATCAAATGCGCATATGAGGGGGTGCAGGGGCACCAGGCATAAGTCTGTCCAGTAACCTTTTGGCCTTTGGTCCATTCATTCTGCTTGAAGCAAGCACAGCAGGTCTCCTCTGCCTTCCCACAGTCTAATACTGTATTAGTCTACATGTCTGAGTTATTGATGGTGCTTTAGAAATATTTTATTGGTCAGTCATGACCTTTGGCTGGGGCAACGCAAACACTAACCCCCCTAAAGCTTCCTATTGACATGGATATATGTATGATCACATGGTTAATAGTATAGATTTAAAACAGCTGAAGACCTGGTCTTTTGGATTTTTGCACTGTGAGCATTGCATTTCATTAAGGGTTAGCTCTAATAAAATTATCCACTGATGCTTAGGGAAAGATTTTTAGGAAAAAATATATATAAAAATTATTCATATCAAATAATAGATTTGAATAAATATTTTATGTCACATTTCCGAAGCACAATGTACAAGTATCCATAGGAAAAATGTCACAGGCACTTTAAAATGCTAAATCTTTTCCTCATATCATCCTCTTGTCTCCTCCCATTACTTGACGCAAAACTCTCTATCAATGGAAGTGTAGCTTGCACTTAAGCACCTACAATTAAGATAAGCCTAGCCACAACTGGACAATTACCTGCCAACTAACCTTTTCTGGAGGCACTTAAGAAGGTAAGGACTCCCGAGGATAGATGTGCCATGAGTAGAACAAGCTCTTCAACAGGCCAGAAGGAGAGAGGCAGAAAGGTAAGGAGGATGTAATGTATGAGAAGAGGGGGATAGAGAGAGTGTGTCAAAAAGAGAGGGAAAATGATAGAAATAGAGAAAAAGACAGTATCATGGTGAGATTACCTAATCCTCTGTCTGAGAGGAGTATTTGAAGGACCTGGTGGTGTCAGACATGAGGGGGCTTTGTGGAGGTTTACCCAGGAGAGGCCAGCTTAGCGGGGGAATCTAGTGGAACACCAGGTGACCAGTGCTTCGTCCCCAAGCACAAGCCTCAGCTTGTGGCTTTGTAAACACTGTTAAATTGATTGCAGAGAGCTGATGAGATTTCCCTGCAGCCTGGGTCATTATCACATTGTGGAGTCGCTCTAATTCACTGATACTGAGGCCTATATGGGTTGTCACTCACTTTTATGTTGTCATTTTTAATGTAAGAGGCATCGTTTCTGTCAGTGCGTATCTTTCAGGTTCTGAAGATGCAGACATTTGAAATGTGCAATGAATTTAAACACTGAGGAAGACTTCATTTCCTAAATCATTGTGCAACATTTTTAGCACCAGTGAGGGTGTCTCTGCTTCTGCACAACGGGGTGAGTTTCAGTACTGTATGATATCTGATCCCAAAAGCCCTGCGGGGCAGCCACAGCAAATCAACAATGGATTAATGGATGTGGGTTTGCTCATAAATCTCGTTGGGACTGGAAAGCATTCGAGAACAGTCAGCCTGTAGTGGTGCGCTTAATGTTACAGGCAGTTTGGGTTTCCCATCGTTCAAAGCAGTGACAGAGTAGTAAAGATGTGGCAGCATCTTATGTCTGTGTTAAATCAGTGAATGTCAGAAATGCTAGATAGTCAGTTCGCTGTGCTGAGAGCTGTACCAAAACTGATTCATTGGTGCAGATATGTTTGTGAATAACTCCAATGATTTTCCATAGCGCTCAGTGTCCAGTAGAATGACTTCATGTACCACAGCAAAGACAGGAAAAACAAAAAAGATATGTTGTGGTGACATGCACTAATTCACTCGTGTCACTACAGTCCTTCAACCTTAGCCTAGTGCGTTAAGGCCTCGCCATAGATCACAGTGGTTAACAGTTAGCTGTTCCTGCAGGTGTGCAGAGAATGGCTGTAACAGTCTCCATTACTGGAGAGAATGGCCCAACTCCCACAGCCCCCTCCAGACAGTGCTGTCATTACCCATCCATTGTGAGGCCTGAGAGGAAGCTGTAAGTACGGCAGACTTATGGCTTTGTTAGGGCGACTGGATGCTCACCTCACATGCAGCACCGGATAAGGAGGTATGGCGGCATGGAAGCCAGATAGAGTGATAGAGACTGAGGATGAATCAAATACTCCCATGATGCCCCGCCACCATCTCCACGGCCACCCCCTGATGGGGTTGTGAGTTGAGTGCATGGTGTAAGGTGGCGAGGGTTATTTGGTGCTATTTTTACAAGAAACGGGCTGATTTGTCTTAGGCCATTACCGTCTATTACAGCTGCGAGTCTTGGGGAAAAGGTGGGAAGCGGCAGACGCTGGCATTCTGCCTAAAGAGAAATCAATGAAACAAATTAATCCTTCGCAGGCTGCAGTGACACCGTAATCCATCATTCAGGGGGCGCTTTTACACGCTGAATCAGGGAGCAAGTCAGGGAGGAGGAGAGCTTGGCGGATGGGTGGGTGCATGTTGGTTGAGAAAGGGTGGGGGGAGAAGGGCGGGTGGGGAGACCAAACCCCTGGGGGACAGGGGCAGACATCCATGCTTCAGTAACACTGTGGTAACGGTGGGTGGTGGCAGGGAATTGAGTGGCTCTGAGCCCTGCCTTTACATCCTTGAGCTGCCTGTGGACATACATAGTAGTAGGAGGAGAAAAGGGACGTAAACACAATCAGCTAAACTACACCATGCACACAGGCACGGTTGTGATTATACACATATTTTCTCTCTTTTTTTACGTCACGTGATGGCTATTTCAACCCCACAGGGCTAATGGCTGATGCTGAAATTCATATGAAAGCTTTATAATTTGCTTCGCACTGAAAATACAGGCAACCAACTGGTCAGTAATGTATGGACATAACTAAGATGTCAAAGAAAGGAAAGAAAAATGTCAGTAATTGGAGCTTTGCAGGATTTCACTTTGTTCTTAAGAAACTGAGGAACCTAATGAGCAATATGCAAAAAGCTCACTAATTGCTTGTCTGTGAAGGTAAAAATACACTAAAAAACAGATCACCATCTCACTATTCAAAGCAGTGTGCTCCATACGTGTGCTGAGATTTGCTGTGGTGATGCCCCAGCACAGAGCCACTCAGGGCGCAGATCTATCTGTGTGATTGAAACATGTGATCATCTTCCCTGTGAGGAGACAGCGTTGTCCAGGCCAAGATCCACGTGAAGCAGCTGCACAGTCTGTTGAATCTTGTAACACTCGGCGTCAAATGGTACCACAATTCAAGTGGGAGCGAAGAGTGGAAAAACACACACATACACACATATCAAGATTGATGTGTTTTTTATTAAGATCTTTGCTGTGTTGCATTGCCTCTTAGTAATCTTACATCATTATGAAATCAAATTCAAGAGCGTGATCCATTCGGCGCTACTGTCTCAGCCAGCTTTGTTGGTCTCGAGGCTCCTTTGCAACAATTGTGGCTGCACAGTCATCGATGGTGACTCTGTGTGTTCATATAACAGTGACTTTTGTAGCTGATGAAGGGTGGTGAGGTTCATCGCGTTAAATAAAATGACAGTTTATGCAGAAACACTACAACAAAACCTTTATTTGCTGCCTTATTTTAACAGGGGGCTCCACTTACCTTTACCAGCTCCTGGTAAAAGGAATGCGGGTGGTTGGCTCCTTTCTTCCTCAAGACACAGGTGGTAGCATTCTGAGGAACGGCATGTTAGAAAGAAATCTGAAAAAATATTGTGGGCGGAGGAATAAAAGGAGGGGGGTGAATGTGGAGGGTGAAGGAAGAAGGAAGGGAGAGGTTGAGATTAGGAGTGGGTGGGGCAGCAAAGAGGAAGGGTAAAGGGAGTAAAGGGATGGAAAACGAGGAGTGGAGGGGAGGGGGAAAAATCGAAAGGATGGAAAAATGTGGGGATATTGCAGCAGAGCGGATGGTGTGAGGGAGGCAGTGTGAGAAATGTTGCCGGAAATGCTAGAGCCAGCAGCGTGTGTAAAAAACCACACTGCAACATTTCTCATCCTTGACATCACTGACAGACTTTCCAAACACACACAGTGTGCTTTCAAAGTGCACGGTTGTAATATCCAAATCTTTACCGCAGCTTCTCCTCTCAGATCATACTCTTTTGTTTTCCTTCCTTCTGTAAACACGGCAGATGTCAGAGGTATTAAATTTAACCAGTGCTGTAATTCTTAATTTGAAGGGTGTGTGTGCTTTAAGATTCCCACAGCAAATACAATAAAACATGTTTGTGTGCAGTGAGAACATTCTTTGACTCGCTCTCGAAGCCGTAGAAGAGACACACTGAGAGGAGTGAAGGGGTGAGGAATGACGGATATGAGGAGAGGAGAGGAGAGGAGAGGAGGAGGACAGAAGATTGTTGTGGAATGTTTGCAGATCTGGCCAGAACTCGACCATCTCATTTGTCAGGGCTTGACCTCAGCTCTGGGGTTAAAGGTTAAAGGCAACATCTGAGGGAAACTGACTCGGCTATCTCACGGCCGCACACACACACACAGGCAAGTAAACACACAAATGTGTGAGAGTGTCTCTCCTTCTGCATGCTCTCACACATAATTCAAGCTCATGCACACTACATCTGTATATATCATCATTAATATCCATCCCAGTCTTATTTGTTTTATTAAAACCGAGTGTTATGTTGACCCCTAGCTATGAAAAGATTAGCTGCCAGTTTCCCAAAAGCATACCAAAGACTTTTTCCAAAACAAAGCACTGAAGAAGAATTTGAGTTCCAGGATGCTTGGATTCATTTCTGAGTAGAAAAGCTTGGAGTGTACTCGATAAACACACACTCCTGTACATAATGAAACAGAACAAATCGGGACTGGGCAATGGATTTCGAAGAGAGCAGCTCCTTAAAATCAAAGTAATGATTAATTCACCTTTTATGTTATATTTACCGCTCTTCGTGGCAAGTGGTCGCAATTCTCGTGCTTCTAAGCAGACGCGTCACTGTCACTGTCCTATGACCACACAACACTTGCCATAAATTACATCTCATCCGAGTGTCAGCCCTTCACCACACCAACATGTCCCACTGTGTGTCCAAGCGGCAGGCCACCGTGTTCCTCTTTGCCTGTGAGGTGACAAACAACACAAACTTAGCTGCAAAGGGCAAGGTTAACCACACGGAATCACTCAAACAAACTCTCTCCTCCAAGTTTCAAATTAAAGTGAGGACATAGCAGGAAATGACAATGTGTGTGGCCCGTTTCAGTGACCCACATAAACAGCAGACACCTGTGAGTCATATGAAATTAAAACAATTGGCTGATGGCAGCTACGCCTTGCATACTGAAAACGGCGGAACTCAGTCATGTTTGAGAGCATTTTTTATTATTATTATTATTCATTCATCTACAAATAAAGCGAAGCAGCAACTCACTTAATGTGACTGCACTTCCAGACACTTCTGTGCCCCTGTTAGGGAAACAAATTGTTCATTTTTTTGTTGTTTAAAATGCAGCCTTCCTCCCCGTTTCTCTTTTATTCAGCTTTAAAATAAAAAAAAAGGAGAGAGAGACAGGTAGTGCAGTAGCTAATATTCATGGCTTTGAGATGCATTTTAAATCACACACCTTTGTCATTCTTTGGCCGGAGACATCAAACAGGTGCTATGAATAATTTATCTTAAGAGTTTCACATTGATAAGGTCACAATCTGCCAGGTCTGGACACTAAACACAGGCCATCTTCACACCTTCACTTTGCTGTCTTTTTAACACACATGTGCCCTCACACACACTAAAACACACTCCTTTTAAATGAAAACGTCAGCATGCGTGTGTGTGTGTGTGTGTGTGTGTGTGTGTGTGTGTGTGTGTGTGTGTGTGTGTGTGTGTCTTTTGATGTAAATATTTTTAATAGTTGCTCGACTTAGAAATTGTGTGACGTGATAATATCTACATGTTAAGACATATTTCTCATACAGTATAGATCAATTTATGGCACAAAATATTTTTAAAGTTGGTAAATCTGCACGAATATGCCTCTCACTCAAACTGCCTCAGAGAATTACTGGGAAATGATTTCCTCTGTACTGATGTAAACTAGACTGCAGCAGCGTGCTCAGTCGCTCATGGTTCAGCTACACTACATTTCTAATTAATCCCCTGCTGTGTGTTGATTTTTTTTTTTTTCAGGGAAAAATGAGAGGAAAATAGTGCAGTGCTTATATCATGCCACTCATTCAAATTAGAAGGAAGGGATGGGAAAACTATGGCAAAGTATCACCAAAGGTCATCAGTCAGCGCAAGGCACCATAGCCCATAATGTAAACATCAGTGTGTTAAAGTTACCAGAAGCGAACTAATTAGATTCGTAAATGCTGTCTGATGTGAAATTTTCTGCCATAAATATTTTGAAATGGGAGCTAACTCTCATAGGTGAGTCCGTCACCCACTACAGCGCTATGGCAGTGACAGGACAATCTGAACATTAAGCGCACAGGAAAACACTCCTCCGCTGTGCTGACCCCCCTCTTCCTTTTCTCTCCTCGTCTGTCTCTCGCTTCTTGTTCGCTTAAGAAGTAATCGCAATACTTAAAAAAAAAAAGAAAGAAGGTTTTGCACTCTTCTGTGTCGGAGAGTAATCTCGCTCTTCTGTCGCTGGGCTATATTTCTACAGTGTGTTGTCGGATAATGTGAGGATGGGATGAAAGGTAATCTGCGTGCAGAATTCCTAAAGCTCCCTTATCCTTGTTGAATTTCTCAAGAATTCCACCTTTGGCCCCCCGGTTTCCCTGAAATAAATTACCTTAAGGGTAAGATGCCTTCACGAACCCCCGGTTAGTTTTTTTATTTTTTTTGTTTTGGTTTTTTTGCGTTGCCCTCTTTAAACTCAGCCAAGCAGGTATTAAGTCCCGTTCTAATTCACTTTGTTGCTCAGGGCTGCATCTCTCCCTGGATATTTGACAGGCACTTGGGGAATGAGACTAAATTATTTCCCAAACTTGCATGAAAATAGTCCTCACAATATTAAAATTGCGTTGTGTTGAGCATTTCTGATTACAGTGTTGCATTAAGTTGACACAGTAATATAAGCAGGTCGCTTTTAAGGCAAACCCTCCGGGCACTGACAGTCACAAGCCCTTCTGATAAAACATTTTCCCATGTCAGTTAATTTTCTGTTAGTTTTTCCCTGTGTATTGGGCTTAGCTACTGATTGATATACGCTAGGCTTCCTTCCACGCTGGTTTCCTAAGAAGTACACACGCTGTTGAAAAATCTGTTTCCCTTCATCTAGCTCCTGGTACTTAAAGTTTGGTTTTTTGGTGTACTACAAAATTACAGTGTTTGCACTGTGGAACCACGAGGGTTTCAGTGCTAATGGATTTATAATCTCCGTCTCTGGGACCATCCAGAGTAATTAGCACATAGGCTCTAAAGAAATGATGGTTAGTGAGCAATAAAGCCATTGCCCATAGCATAAACTGACAGCCCCTCTAACCTAACCAACCTAAAGTCTAATTGGGAAAGTCGTTGCAGTCATTGTCCTAAATTATAGTCTGGGATTCGAAGTCCCTGGAAAGAGACTTCAATTCATGACACGTTAACTGAAGGGAGCGCATCTCTGCACACACACATCTACAGTAAATATAATGAGAAAATAAACATTTATTTCCATGCAAACTAAAGCGGCATAATATAAAGATAAAAGCATGCAAGAAATTATCACGGTTGTTGTTAATAAACTTAAAATCGTGCACATCCGTTGTTGTTGGCATCTGGTTTTAAACTGAAAATGAAACTTTTTCTTTGTCTTGGGAATCACTTTTAATATATGTATAGTTTTCATTAATAATTAGTAAATGACTTATCGTGTGGACTCTGTCCTGCTAATTGTTTAGGTCTCCAAATAGTTCAAGCCCATATGCTATTACTGATTTTATATATTCCGACTATTTCTCACGAATCGTCTTTCCATTAGGAGCAATTAGATTATGTCTATTGAAAGTTGCTG